CAGCCAGGCTGGGCACACTGAGGTGAGCTCAAGGCAGACTAGCCCTGGTCACTCCAAAGCTGGGGTACCACCTCTGGCTGCACAGGAGTTATGGCCCACGGTGTTTGCTTCCCAACAGCCTCAACAAACCTTGCACCCCTCTCGGCACCTTCCTGTAGTCTGTGTTCTTTATGCACAACTAAACCCGAGCTCAGCCACGATGCACTGCTCAAAGGAGGCAAAATGTGGAACTGTCAGGGAATGGGATGTTTTTTGGCATGCCTGCTCACCGTGGAGCACATTGTGACTTGCCTGAACCACAGGGAAGCCCTTGCTGCATGAGGCGTGTGCCACTCGGCCTGTGTGTAGTGGTGACGCAAGGGCTGGGGCTTCCCTTCCAGCTGGAAAGACAGATGGAGTTTCACAGCTTCTAGGCTGGACAGGGAGTCTGTCCCAGGGTACTATGAAGCCCTTAGTGGTTGTGGTCACTGAAAGAGAAAGCAGGTAGTCATGCTGCTGTGCCAACTCAAGCGTGTCGAGGTGTGTCCCTGCCTTGGCTGCCCTGTGAGCACCAGCTGTGGAGGAAAAAGCTTCTCATCGTGCTGGGCGTCCCAGTGAGTAAACCCAAGTACTGTGAAAATGCATTGCTATATTTGCTACTGTGAGAATAAGAGTCTATCTGGAGTTTTTATACTATATCGTGTATTTTTATATATGAGGAGTATATATAAATGTACACATGTCGTACACATCACGGATCCCTCGGGCTCGCTCTGCTCTGGGCAGCCCAGCAGCCACAGTCACCTCTGGGACTTGAGCAAATGCGAGTGGAAGCTGCAGGAGGAAAACCAGTGCCAAGGGTGTGGCTGCTGTGTTACTGTGCCACAGTGCTTACTTGCAAGGGAAGCTCCAGGAGGTTGTGGGTATGGCTAAAGCCATGACTGAGGCATCACCTAGTACTAAAGAGCATAAAAACTATTTGAAAATTGCTGGCATTCAGCTTTTAAGTGCACTTTCCTGAACTACACTTCCACTTCTTGTTAGACTTCAAGTTTCTAAAGCTTTTTTGTGTACCACTAAACACAGAACCGTTAACTATTTTGTGAAGCTGATGTATGTCATGAAATCCTTGGAGTTGTTAAATAAACAAACCTGGTAACAGTGCCTTTGCAGCTCTCCTTCAGCACTGCATTGTCAAGTGTTTAGGCTTTAATGTACTCAGCATAAGCAGAGCTGCCTCTGCTCATGGCTTTCACACTCTTAAAAGTGCTTCAAACATTTGTATTTGCTGCCCAATGGCCTTTCCTCGTCCAGTCTGTTAAAAACTGGGGACTGTGTGCTGTTTTGGACTCCTTAGGTTCGGTGCTGCTGCTCAAAGCCTTCCTGCAGAACGGGTGTGCGCAGTTCCCAATGCCACAGCAGGAGGACTGTGAACAGCACAGTGAGCAGGTTGCAAAGCTGAGTTCAGCAGCAGGTGCATCTAGAGCTGCTCCCCCAGAATTCCAGAGACAGGCTCCCTGTCTGTGTAACCCACAGGGGCCATGGCACAAAGGCTGAGCCATTCACATTGTGGTTTCACTGTGAGACTGCAGGAATGATGTTATTCCAAGGAAACAGCCAATGATCTGGAATTTATTTACAGGCTCAGTATGTACATAAATGACCATCATGCAGCTTGATAAATTTTGTCATGGTAATAAAAATGTACAGTTTGGCAGTCAGTTTCCTTGTCCAGGGGAAACTGCGGGAGTAGTGAGGAGTTTACATAAAAAACATACATTGGCAAAGTCTAAAGTCAGCATGATTTCAGACTACAGACACATTCTTCAGGTAGTACTGTACACATAATACTGGAAACAGGCTTTGATACTTGCAGGTTCCTTGTCAGGCTTCAGTAGTAGTAATTAGTGCACTTGAAACTTGCTTGGCTGTCAAGGTAAAAAAAAAATAATTAAAAAATCAGTGTTTGCACTGGAAAGCTCTGAGGTCTGGGAGCCGTGAATCCTAAATGCAGAGTCAGTTCTGGCCAATACTTGTTTGCTTCTGGAGTTAAAAAAAGCCAAACAAACAACGAAAAAGCACCAAGACAACCCCCTGACCTGAACAGACAGCATCCCTGTCCAGCACACCAGGAGTCTGGATCCTGCCTTCTCCATGCCCAGGGTTTGTTCAGGGGCCTGTCCACGGACTATTCCTGTGTCCCTTGCACACCCTGAGCAGGAAGGCTGAGGCAGCTCTGGGGACTACCAGCGGCCTGCCCACCCCGAGCAGGCCACCACCCAGAGCTAGCCTCTCCCCTTGGAGGACAGGAAAACCCTCCCCACGAGGACAGAGCCACTTGGGATTAGTCCCAACAGCATTCTGGGGCGCGTGGCACAGCCTCCCCTGGCTACTGCCAACGCCTGGTGCTGTGCAGCAGCAGCAGCTGGTACTGCTGCCTGACTGAACTGTAGACACAGGCATAGCTGTTAGACAGAATTCACTGAAAAACATTGCCTCTAGCCGAGAAATCCGGGACTTCAATGCTGTTTGCAAAACTGGCACCCCTGGAAGTTAATCCTGCCGAGCTGCAGCTACCCAGGGACCTGTGAATTGCACGTCTCCTGTGCCGAGTTGTTAGGAGATG